TCAGTATAATTATTTCCGAAAACCATTACATTAGCAACCATATCTTTTAATATTTTACGAATATACTTATATTATTAGCATAATACACTGCACTATTTTTGAGTTGAATTGATTATCTTCAGTCAACAGTTACCCATTCTCATATAATTTTCTAAAATTCATAATGTTAAAGCTATGTAGTATTTCTGTTAATATCTTTTATAATATGTTTAGACACGTTACTTTGCAATGTCAGATGTCTACTATATACAAGACTGTCATGATAATTTAGTACACTAAGTCCTGCCAACCGACCTTACCTTCAGTTCATACTACCTACATTGATCCCTAACTATATTGTTCTGCTGAATCTTGCTTCACTATTCACAAAACCTATTCTTTTTATTCTTTAAGGTTTTAACTTCTTGTAAAGTAATCCGTTCATTAGGACGCATGCATACATATATAATGTTCATAAAGATGTATGTGGAGACCTATTGGAAGCACTCATTAAGAAAGCTAGGGAGATGGAATATGGGGTACGAACATGTCTGGTACCAAGCAGTATATTTGCGGTAGCCATAATAATCATAGTCTCAGAGCTTAACATCAAAAAAGGAGGGAGGGTGGCGTTAGCTGATCAGTAGATATGGTGGGGGTCACTAAGGTGAATCGCCCCATTCTGCAGGAACAGCAATATACAAATTAAAGGCTCGAGATATTTCTGATTTTTATGAGGGCTTAGATCTTTATCTTGAAAAAGATAATAATGAACGCCTTGACAGATCATGCTTCTACCTTTAAATATATACCATTCGCTCAGCCTATTGTTGAGATGCGACCATGTGGGATCTGCACAGATTTATGGGGCATCTTATAAATCAACTTGCTGTCCATTGTCGGATCTTTAAATACCACTTCACAATGTCTTATCTCATTCATTTTCTAATTACGTCTTTACTTAATCCTCATTGTATCCCATTAAACCTAACATTTTATAGCTCTTTATGAATTTGATTCGACTTATTCTATTCCTATTCTCTCTGAGGTACGGTTGTGCACCAAATGCACAATAAAGCATAAAATAAAAAAACAGACATAAGGAAAAAATGTATTAAAACCAAAAGTGGACATCATGATACTACCAGATATACGCGTAGCATTATACATTGCAAATGAACGTTGTCAGCCTAGGGAGTTTTCTTTATTAATGCATTTATTAGTGATACTTGCACTTACCCATTTCATTACACTTTATTGATTCACCTTAGCACTTTTACTTTTCTAAAAACAGCTTTCAATCCGTTGTAAACGTTGTACTTACCTCAATATTGGTTGGTTATCGTATGCCGACAACCACGGGATGAAAACGAAACGAAGTCGATTTTCCCGCTCAACCTGGAGGACAATTGTACAATTCAATAACTATACAGCCTAGTTCAGACAATGTGTATTTATATATATATCAAATATTTAACTGTTGAAACATTATTAACTTGTAGACAATCTATGATTTGATATTATATCATACTTGATCGTGCCTGTAAAAATGGCATGCATTTTCATGTAAATTTATATGTTTATATGAGAATATATATATTATATTATATTATATACAGTATGAACATATGTACAAAATCACACACTAAGCACATTGGATTGCTCATTGATGCGCTACCCTTTGAAGAACTGTGGGACTTACAGCAGTACGCCTACAACCCTTCTCAGGTTGACGCTCTACGTTGGAAAATCGTCGCAGAGTTCATTTGCTGACTTCCTTCTATCAGCTATATCCTCAAATCTGAACGGCAACACGCCCATGTCATTGTATCGTAGAATATAGATGACGAACAAACACACGACATACCTGATCAACCAAGTGTAGAAACAGAGTAATTTACACCGAAGATAATAGCATTCAATTAGTAACTTGAAACTAGAAATGCCTTTATTCATGCAAGTCAATTTAACAATTACTCTCTCCTTTACACTTGGCTTATTCTCACTAAACTGAGCAATATCTTTCGTCTTTTCAAATGCACCAATACTATCATAGTCATTGCATAAGGCACGTGAGTTCATGGACGTCCATTTCATTGTGGATGAAAACACCAACGATGACTGAGTGACACAAGGTGATGAACTTAGCGGTGGATCAGAAGCTGTTCTTTTTCGGCTTTCAGATAGTTGTCTAACTGCAAGATTACCACCACTGCTGTCTTTCACTACTAGTTCGGGTTTAGCACTATCATCTGATGATAGGTGGGCTACACGCTGATCAATTACACTGACTGTCTCACAAGTATGCACACCTTCTGGAACTGCATCTGCGTTCAATTCTACTTCACGTTGCAGTTGTACAGAACCTTCATTTAACTTAGCAGTAGTAGGCATATCCCTCATCTCATAATGATCAACCAAAGACAAATCTGCACTACCATGATCATTATCATGAATATTCACTTTACCATCAAGTTCACCATTTTCAAACTCTTTGTTAACAGCAGTAGACAATTTTGGTTCCTCCTCTACAGGTGTTTCCACAACGCCGTCCGTTGTCTCTTCAGTCTCCGCTGGGGCACTATCCAACTGTTCGTCTGCCTCAGTATGGTTCTGTTCCCAACGTACAACTTGTTCTGTATCACCACTCTCGGGTGCTGCCTGAGCATCCACATCCTGTGGGTTCCAGTTTCCATCTCTCCTACCATATTGTCTCGGACCTTGGCGATCAGGAACCCTCTGATGGTCAAAATCCCGATTTGAGTTGAACGGCATACCACGTCCGCGACCAAACGTTCCCCTGCCTCGGTCTCTTCCACGTCCTCTTGATTCGAAACCAGACCCTCTGGGCGCATTCACACCGCCTGCCAAGTCAAGGGGTGACTCCGTTGGAGCCGTCCGTGGACCCTGACCTCTGCCTCCACGCATCCCGCGCAACGCTCCCCTGCCTGATCCGCGGCCACGAAAAAAAGTACTGGTCGGTTGTTCTGTCTCCTTCACTGCGAAGTTCTGTGCATCCTCTGATGACACCGGTGGTAGATCTGTGGCACTTGGAGACTTTGGAGGTCTAGGGGCAGCTTTCGGGACTGTTGTATCAGCTCTCGCCTCGATCTTGACTACCGTCTCAACCCTGGCAGGTGTAGCCTGCTGTTGTTGCTGCGGCTGAGCATGAGACTTCTCCTTCTCAGTTTTCTCTGCTCGTTTGGTTTGTATTTTGGATAGCAGGATATCCGGGTCCTCACTATTCAAGGTATCATCCAGAAATAGTGAGAATCTGCTCTTCACCTCCACTGAATACTGGTAGGCGTGGTCAACACCAGCCATGACTACAAACCACACCGTGTGAAAATGTTCTACATGATCTCAAACTCCTTTACAAATTGTAAAAAATCAGCCGGGTTTCCATCAAAACATTGTGGTTCAAATTTAGGGAGTTTGATGTTCCTATTATCCCTGAACGGCGAAACAGTAACATCAACTATGTCATGCTTAACGTCAGACACATCGTTACAATTAACAGACAAGTCACCATGACTTACTTTCCTGTTTGCATCCAAGACACTCTGTCCCTTCTTTGACCCAGGCATTGTTGAATTTGACCCAATTCCAAAAACGTTCCAGATATTGCTTGTTCAAAGAGGACTTGGCCGGCACCAGGAAAGATGAACGGTGACTATCCAAACTTTCACCAACTGTCTGAATCCGCCAGAGTCTGTTTCTAACATCAGAAACTGTCAACCCAGCTCTTGCTACGCTCGGGCCCACGCTGTTCCTTGCAGTTTTTCAGAAACGCTTAGTAATAACGGACGAAAAAACCAAAAGACCGATTGGTGACTCGAGGATTCTTTATTGTTACACCAACATATAAAAATAATGTTTTTACTAGGGTCTGTGAACAAATATTACAATAACAAATCACAATATTACTTCTGATGGTTTACTGCTGACTTCTTTATGAACAGCGACCGATGAGACGATGACTGTCGTATTGATGCCTCCGCGAAAATTGGGGAAGTTGGTTTTGAGCAAACAACCATGAATTGATCGTTCAGTCTTCACCTGCACTGACAAAGGTGTTCTGCCATTGAGTAGGTATAGGCTCCCACGTGGAAATCCTAGAAGGATAGCTCACCAGAGGGCAAGGACCCGGGTGCGCTCCCACATCTTTTCACTGCGGGTTTGCCGTCCCTGGAATTCCTTACCGGCAGATGTAGCTATGGCACCGTCTTTGGACGCCTTCAAGCGAAGGCTGGACAACCATGCAGCGGCACAAAGACTGCATCCAAATGGCCTATCTCCTTAAAATCGCATACACCAATCACAGAGGGACAATTATACTCGTCGTTTTACTTCTTTACATTCTCTCCCGTCTTACTCTCCTGACAACTTATTAATATTATAATTACTATTATTATTATTATTACTATTACTGATATATATATATTATTCTTCAAACTTCATGAGCTGACTGTTGTTACGTTTCCTATTTTCGTTTCTGTCTCTTAGTCTGAATAGCTTCACTAATTTTATCTATTATTATTACTATCTCTTTTCTCCTGTCGACGATACCAAAGGACTAACTGGCGAAAGGATCAACTCCAATCACAGTAGTAACAGTCTTAACATACCTCATACTACAAACCACACATAATTAATCCCAGCACTACTCCCTTTGGAGTCAACCAAAGCTACGACAGTCGAGTGGCGGGACAAGCTACGCAGAAGTTTACCGAAGATCAGTAACCTATACCTTACAATCAGGAAGCGAGCACAAAGAAATCAAATTGGTTTATACCTGCTCGTAAAAACGATATTGGATTGGATATTGGAGAGCATCTATTCCCTTTTTTTCTAATCTACGAAAACCCTGTATTGACTCAGATTCTCAAAAACACTTGTGGTCATTAGTTTCTGGTATATTGCTCACGTAATTTTTGAGTATTTTAAATTTACTCCTGACTTTATATGATGTAACGTACGACCTACAGCGTTTCGCTTCCACGACCTTTAGGGGCGGGAAAATGGGTAAAGGATGTACTACATTTCTCGTCTTTGCTTTATTAACATTTAATGTGATATTTTTGGTGAGTTTAGCATGCCACATTCGTTTAGATAAATGCAATGATAAATTTTGATATGTCTTAAATAATCGTGATTTCTTTATAATTCGTTTACAGAGAGTATATCAGTAGAATGTTATGTATGCTATCTAGGTAGTAAATATATAGCTTGTCATATAGGTTGCATGTCAGCCTATACCTGAGGACGAACGAAAACCGCTTTCATATCTGTTAAAACTCACCGGTGGAAGACTTAGTCCTCGTTAATTTTGCTACCACAATGTTTTCAGTGAAAATATATAGTTACTACCTTAAAATGAAATATTTACACACTTCTGTGAATACATTTTTCCTCTCCAGTCCTGTAATTGACGCTGATACTGTACAAAAACAAGTCTCAAGACATTATATTCATGTTAATCTGTCGCTGTCTGTCATCGTTGTATATGATGCCTTACCTCCTATAATTACTGTCAGTCTTTAAATTAAGAGTCATAATCTTTTTCAATTGCTGCGTAGCTTTTTCACCGTAAAATGCACTTACTTGTATTTTTAAGTGGCTTATCGAAGCAACAGCTTATAATACTCACTAATTAGTTTTCAGATTCAGATGATAAGGATGGTAGGCTTTTGTGGCCTGTGTTAATCCTTGCATAGGATATCTCTGCAGAGATCTAACTTCTCTTTAAAGGCGTTCACCGATGGAGCTGATACTACTGAACCAGGTAAGGAGTTCCAATCGTTGACCACTCTGAGAGAATCTAAATTCTGCACGTATTTTAATCGTCCTCGGTTTGAGCACCTTTTTACGGTGACCCGTAAATGTATCCTAGAAGGAGAGAAAATGTTAGAAAGGTCAGTTCCTAAATCGCCCTTAAGTATACGGTATGCTAAAATTAAGTCGCCTCTCTTCCTTCGCTATGATAACGGGAAGAGATTTAAATGCTCTCTCCTCTTATCATAAGGAAGGTATGAGATACCACAACTAATTTTGTTCCTACTCTCTGTACTCTTTCCAGGCATGGACTCGCCGCCAGTATGCAGTATTCTAGATGAGGCCTGACATATGTTGCATAGAGTATTTGGAACATGCCCTCGTCTAATCGTTTGAAAGCCCTTCGAATTGCCCATAGCATTCGAAAAGCTTTAGCTGCGGCTGCATTGCAATTTGCAGTTGTTTTCAAATCATTGCTGACAATGATTCCTAGGTCCTTCTGTTCGTTAACATCAGGTAGTTCTGCGTCCCCTAGGGAGTACGACGTATAAGACTTCTGACCTAAGTGCATTGCCACGCTTTTCCTAGCATTCATTTCCAAACTCCATAGGCTTGACCACTCAGCTAATTTATCTAAATCAGTTTGTAGGGCCGACCTATCCTCGTTATTATTTACGGTTTTCCATATCTTAATGTCATCTGCAAATAATAATGAACATGAAGAAAGAATCCCTGGTAACTCGTTAACGTATAATAGGAATAGCAAGGGACCTAATACAGTTCCCCAAGGCACTCCACTGGATACTGCTTTCCATCCTGATAGTGCACCGTTAACTCTAACCTCCTGTCTTCTATCCATTAGGTAATCCCTGAACCACTCACACAGGCATTTGTCTAGTCCGAAACCTTTAAGTTTACTAAGGAGACCTAAGTGGGATACTTTGTCGAACGCCCTGCTAAGATCAATAAAAACCACGTCCAACAGATGGTTCCTATCTCTGGCCTCAACCCAGTCTTCCCTAGCCAGTAGTAGGTTTGTCAAGCAGGATCGTCCTGGTCGGAATCCATGCTGTTCCACAGCCAACAAGCCGTGTGTTTCAACATAAGCTAATAGTTGATCCCTTACAACAGTTTCCAATACCTTTGCAACAATGCATGTCAGACTCACCGGCCTGTAGTTAGATGCCAATTGCCTATCCCCGTCTTTGAAGATAGAGCTTATAATGGCATCCTTCCAGTCCCTGGGTAGCTTAGCCTGCGTCAGAGACATTTGGAAAATCTCCGTAAGCGGAATATATATTATATCCGCCAAGGAAATTAACAGCTTAGGGTGAAGTCCATCCGGCTCAGGTGATTTACCTGGCTTCAGTTTAGACAGTAGTTTGAGAACCTTTGTGTGCTCTACCACAATTGCGGGCATCTGAGTGGCGATGGAAGTGACCTCGCCATATCCCTGTGTGGTACTATCAGACGAGAAGACGTCACAGAAGTATTCAGAGAGGTTTTCAGCCTTTCCTTTGTCTGACTCAGCCGCTTCTCCACTAACGGTTATGAGTGACGGTATACCACTGCTAGTTTTAGTCCTACGTTTAATATACGAGTAAATCCTTTTTGGGTAATGAACGCAATCTAGTCCTAGTCGTCTCTCGTACTCTATACGACTCTTGTTAATCGCATACTTACAGAGATTTCGAATTCTGCGGTAGTTTTTCTGGAAAATTTCCCTTCCTGTCATAACAAATTGGTCTCATAAGTTCTTCCTCTCTCTTAATAGCCTCCATATTTCACTAGTAATCCAAGGTAGCTTATACGATAACTTTTGAGGAAAACACTTAGGTACAAAGGATGAAGTGACACAATCTAGAGTATTCCTAAATCCCACCCAGGCTTCCTCGACAGTCCGACTTGTATCAACCGACCAGACAGCTAGATTTGCTGCGTTCCGGATTCCTTGTATATCCGCTTTCCAAATGTTTGGACGAGCAGATTTTGACCTATGAATAAGAGAATGAATCTTAAAAGTAAAAGTATTGACTACGTGGTCACTGCTGCCAAGTGGCGGAAGGCACCTAATGTTACCAACATCCTCCTTCTGGTGTTAGTACTAGTGGACGGATCATGTTCAAGGCGGTATCGTGTTGGTGCTACACAAGTGCGCATTCAAACGCTGTCAGTATGAGTTCCCTGTTGAAACAATTGTACAAGGTAGCTCATGTTAATTCCTCCTAATTAATATGTGGGGCATAAAAGTCACTTACTATTAGACACCTATTTCCACTACTCCGTGTCCTAAGGTGGTTTTGTACGAAATCATCAGTGTCGCTGGCAGGAATTCTATAAATGCCCCCAATTGTCACAGTGGCCTTGTTCAAGTGAATGACACAACTTGCAGCTTCACTGATGCCACTATCATATGCTTCTGACAGCGTTGACCTAATCTGTATTTCATCCCTGATGCATAGGGCACCCTCGCCACTTTTACGACTGATTATTCTGTCCGCTCTAATGCAGCTGTGTTCAGGTATGAGTGGAGTTAAGTCTACCCCCACTAAAAAGCATGTCTCAGTGATAGCAATCACATTAGGTTGTAGTCTTTCAGATAATACTTCTAATTTTGCGACCTTACTCCTTGGACATGTTGTCAGGGATAGTGCTCCTCTCTATCTCATTCCCTAAAACTATCTTAACTGGTCGTCTCGAAGTTTCCGTTGTATCAGAATTTCGTTTTTCGATCTTAATAGCCTTTCTTGTGAGGAATTCACCTGTTCTTTCGGGAGTTATTTCCCGAACAATGGAGCTAACCGCCTTCAGATCATTTACATGTTTGGTAGCTGGATCTGTGTTTTTAGATTCCTCTAAGTTCCAGATGATGACAGTGTAGGTTTAGGAGTTTGGTTGGTGTTAAGAGCCGTCGAGACCTTGTTAGTAAGCCCGGTTACCGTTCCTTTCCTACGTTTATTTAGCTTCTTACTTGTCGGCACCGTCCAAGTGGAGTCGATTTCTTCAACTTTGTTTTCTCCACAGCTAGAAGCCAATCGAGCACTAGACACGCTGACCTTTGGCTTGGCCGTTTCACCAGCTGGTATTACCATGCTGGCACTACTTGCCCTTTTAGATTTTCTTAGTTTTTTGAGCGTTTCCAAAGCAGATTTATGGGCACTCTTTACCTCTTTTGTATCTGACACTTCAGGATGTGATACGGTTTCAGTTTTATGACTAAGTCCTGAATCGTTATCCTTGGCATCGATTTATGATGCAGACTTTTCAACTGGGGTTTTCACAAATTTCTCGAACATAAACCCTACTGCCTCTTCGATGAGGACGTCCAACGGGCTCCTGCAAAATTTGCACAGCCATTGAGATGATGGCTTGCAACATCTCTTATAGGCTACTGGTGATAAACCAGTTCAAATTTTGTGAAACCATAGGCTGCAGTTGTCATACTGCATCCCATCATCCACCGGAAAGTGACAGTGTGGTAGTCCACAGTTGTTAGTGAGACTCATAACTCTGTAATTTGTTTAAACTGTACAAATATATATATATATATATATATATATATATATATATATATATATAACCAGTGAGGTATAAACCAAACGAAAACACAAAATGTGGATAAAGTGAGCAACACTTCAACTAAATAAATGAGATAAAGTGAACCAAAAGGCATCTGATGTTATTTAAGCAACAAAAGCAGAAGTTACTTCACAAGGTAAAAAACACCACTCTCCTTTTTCAAAGTGTGCGATTGTAGTTTTAAGACTAATCAGTGCAAATAGGCTTATCTGTCGTGTTCTTCTATCGTATCAAAGTGTAAACAGAAGAGAGCGGGCAAGAAACATATAGAGGCCTGTAATTCGCTTTGAAAACGACAGATTTGCACAAGCTGGAAGCATAGTTTTTTGAACTGAAGTGGGATATAATTAGTTATTTTGATGTTTCTACATTATTACAGCTGAACGTCATTTTTTCACGAAGTTTCTGATAAATAAGAAGACTTTAGCCACTATATCCTTCAGACGACTTTCTTAACTTCAAGTTTCTTAAAACAGTTCCCTGTGCACACTTTAAGCTTGACAAAAGCCTCCTCATCCACGCTTTTTTCATTTGCCGTTATTCAGTAAGGGGTTGTTTATACAGATGTTTTTGGCACCAATTGGTCTTGGCGTCAAACTTTACCAGGACACTCAATTTTCTTAAGGCGCTAACTTATAAGCTAGGTGTCTTTCACACCCAGCTATCTAGCTGATTTTCAGATTTATTAGTTGTACCTTTCGTAGATCTGGTATGGTTAAATACTTACTAA